AAGAGGTACTACCCCGGGAAGTAAAAGAAAGAAGAGGCAGACTTTGAGGGAAATATGGAGAGGATATTACCTCTCTTAAGAACACTTTAATAAGCTTTTTGGGTTTATTCTCTGTCCAGTCCCAAATCCTGTTCATTACAGTCTTTGTGACAGCTAACCACGTTGTTTTCCCGTGGAGGGCCGCAGACAGACATGCGCTGACACATGGTGCCGCCAACTGCTTCTTTTCACCTCGACCTTGCCCGCTCCCCACCTGCGATTGTGGACCAATTATGTTTTTTGGGAACAAGAAAACAAGCTGGAGGTGCTGCTATGGGGAGTTGAACGAAGTTAAAACCGTTGTTAAATATTTAATCACCCTGTGTGTCTGGAATATAATGAAAGTCTACCTTCTGATCATTAAACTTGCAGGCTTTCCAACCCCCAGATTATACATAATCTCCACTGTTCAGTGCATGACAATGTGAAGCACAGACACTTTCTGGACTGTGTGTAGTGCTGCTGTCAGGTTTTCTACATTAGGATTTAGCACACCGAGGATTGTGAGTGAGCCGGATCATCCATCACCACGATGTTACTGCAACACTACATGAAGCTATTGTAATGAAAAATGGCAAACAGTGCAGACAGATATATGAGGAAGAGACTATTACAGGGACGATCTGCTCCCCAATTCTTAATGGATTGTTCTCCGCTCTCTAATGAGTGTCATCACACTCGCCTAAGTTCATTTATGATGTGCACACAAAGTGAGGAGCCGCATTATCCAAAATGAACAATGTGGCACAAACAGTGATGTTAATGTGGAGATAAAAGCGAGTTTGTCCAAACTGCGTGTACGGAAACTGAAGCAGATGCTGCACTCTTCCAAGTGGAGCATTAATCAAAGAGATGTGAAGTAGAACTTGTGAACACAGCAAAAAATAATAACATCTAGATCACGAGTCTCCGACACGTTGATCATAAAACAGCAGCTTGTGAGGAGTTTTTTTCAAATTGAAAGCCGCTTCCCATTTCAGTTTGATCAAATACACAGATCACACCCCCTCCAATGCATAACAATAGGATAGGCCTATCAGATGTCAATGTAAAGGTGATGCTCCTGTCAAGTTTGTCAGTGCCTGAACCTAACCAATCACAGCAATGGAGCAGCGACCTCCATCGTCAGGTCAGGATACAGTTATGATTTACACTAGCAGGGTTGAAATGAGGCATTCTGTGCAATAAGCACAGCAAGCCTGCAAAGCCAGATTTATGACGGACAATGGATGATGCCATACCAAGAAAAGGCAAAAAAGAATATTTCCATGAATGTGAGGACAAGGATGTGTGGGTCATGTTCAGTACCAATTGCCGTTTTCACATACGCACTCCGGATAATATCTAGATATTTACAGGAGGACCGCTCCGGAGATTCTCCCCGAACTAGCCGTTCACATATGCTCCTCACAGCGGGGGACTTTCCCTGTCGGGGGGGCGGGGGGGGATTTCCTGAGGTAAGACGTGACGTAAATAAACAATGCGGAAGTAGCGGCCGAAGCAACAGAGTCCGCTACACGCCGTTATAATGAGAATATTTGCCTTTATATCAATGCTATGTGTAATCCAATGGAATGACAACATCCACAAAAGAGAGGAGAACAACAAACTGACGAACAGAAAACAGAATGCAGACGTTTAATTAGAGCACGGAGATCGTATATGTATATAAACGTCATTCTCCTTCTATTGGCTCGAGTTGAACTCTCCAGAGTATATGCTGCTGCGTTCAGACATCAGCTCACTCGGACTTTCTGCAGATGAAATACTAGGGGTCTGTCCGGAGAAACTCCGGGTAAAGTCCGCCTGAAAAATGTGGCTGTTTGCATTCACACATAGCCTAAAACACCTCCGGGTAGCCAAATCTCCAGAGTTTTTCATTAGGTTTCTGTATGTGTGAAAAGGGATAAAGTTTCAGTAGGCAAAATAAGTACTTTGAAGCGCTGCCACACTCAAGTCCAGGATAACTTTGCACAGGACTTCCTTCCAGGCAGCAAGCTACAAATATATGTGAACAGGCAACACAGCACTCTCGTTTCACCCACCTGACACAGAAGGTCAGAAGGTTGCACATCCTATATCGAAGAGCAAGAAACCGGTCACCAGCAGTAGGGTGAGGAAGGGAGCAATTACAACAGTGGCCTTGACATTATAAAGACACCATAAAGGTAAGGCTGTAAGCATGTTTGCTATTGCTGATATAAAGCTTGATGAGAACCAGTGGCACGGGGAGTCTCTGCGCTTTGTAACCTTTTGGTAATGACATTTGACACATTGTATACAAGAAGTAACTGAATGCAGCTGGTTCATTTGTTTTGATGCGTTACATGATGTGGCTTTCATATTTTCAAAGTAGCTTTCAGATGAAAAAAGGTTGTGACATCATTTTTATTCTACTCTAGGCTAAAGCATGTTGGCTCAAGAAATAGCAACAGCATCTTTCTCCCAGAAGACGCTGAATATGACCTCTGCCCTACTCAGAAAAACAAGAGATCACAGCATCTTTTATCTCTTACTAACGCAGATGTATTTTCAGCTGTAGAAAGTATTCTTAATGCTGTGATGCTCATACGCAGGGGCAGCATCTCTCAATCCTGCTGGTTTTATATCCTACCAGGAAATTAATTTAATTCACACGGTGTACGAGGAGAAAATCACTCTCTGATTAGACAGCAGGGTTGGATACCAGCAGGGCTATGTTTCCTCACAGTAATGACAGAGAAGGACGGGGCATGGGCGATGACTAAGCCCTGCTGATCTTCTTACTCATGCTCAAAAATGATGTTTCACAAAAAAAAGAGGGTCAAATATTTAACTGTCTGAGGCTCATTCAATACTTGAAAAGTGTAGAAAAACATCCACCAGCACTTCTCTTTTGTGTTTAAACAACATGCAGAGTACAACTACCGAAGATATACAACGGCTACAAGATGAAAAACTTAACCCGGTAGTCTGACACATGACACCGCCACTTCTCCGCCCTCTGTGATGAGTGCTGAATTACACTTTAAACTCAGTGTTTTCTAGAGAGCAGCGTCGTTTGCAGTGTTATAATAATTTCTGTGGACCTTTGCCTCGAGTTGCAGATAACACTTCTAACCTTTGGAGTAAATCAGAGTAAACACCAGCTGGTACCCAGGAGCGTACTTGAAAACACAAATTGTGTTTCTGGAATTTTAAAACGCTGTCACATACACTTAGAGGGAAATTTACATAAACTCTGCAAGAACATTATTTTAATGCTGGAGTCGGTTGCTAACCCTCACATCCAGCTGCTTCCCTGTGTCTCTTCATTAGCACCTTATTTAAATGCAAGTAAACACCACGCTGAGTCACACAGGGCAAAGAAATCCAGCTTCTACAGCCCTACTATTGTCATAAAAGTAGCACAATTAATTGTTTAACATCTACTGCAAACATATTGGTAGGGAGTTGAAAAGCAGAAAATATTAAGACAAAGGTTGTAGCAACATTTCATTAACGTTTAGAACACTTCATTAAGAACAGCCCATACTATAATGGCAACAGTTAACTGTGTTTTCAGACTTTACTGGGCGGTAGTGGTTCCACTAAGGATGGAGAAAATATCAATACTGCATTGAACTTTGGATGAAGTGATTGAATTGGCACTGGAGGGTTTTTGCAATAGAATTGGTGGTTAAGCTCAGTTGGCAGCAGGTTCGACTTTCTGCCTTGGCCCTTTAATGAATATCTACAACACTCTCTCCATCCAGCATTGAAATAAATAGATATCCTTTCCATTCACTATATATTAACTCCCTTCTGATTGCACATGTTTTAATTGATTTTAATTGATTTTAATTGATGTATGTATACAGTAAATGGCAAATGGACTTGACCTTATATAGCGCTTTTCTAGTCTTCCAACTACTCAAAGCGCTTTTACACCACATGTCACACTCACCCATTCAGACCCTTTCACACACTGATGGTAGAGGTCGTTATGTAGTATCATCCATCAGAAGAAACTAATCTCATTCATACACCGCCACCGAAGCGGCGGGAGCAATCGGGGTTAAGTGTCTTGCCCAAGGACACATCTGCTGCCCAGCTGGGGATCGAACCCTCGACCTTCCGGTTGAGAGACGACTCTACCAACTGAGCCACAGCCGCCATATACCTATATATGTATGTTTGTTATTTTTCATTGTTTATCATGCTCGACGTCATTGTAACTGAGGGCTATGCTCTCAAAGTTTAAATGAAGACATAATATACATCACACCTCCTGTCTCTTTTTCCACTACACTTACAGATGTTGTTGATATTCAGTTTTGCACAGAAAGTGAAGATGTGAACATGCTTTTACTTAAAAATTCATTGGAATCTGTTTGGATAACATAGAGTGTGTGACTCCTTCTTGTGTATTGCTGCATTAAGATCAATATAGTTGTTACTGAAAAAACTCCAATTCACAATTGCACAACTACCACAATACCACAAGTCAATTTGTTTTATAATACTATAAAATACAGTAATCATGGGCAGTGGGATGAGTCATGTAGGTAGATGTGTTATATAAGTGCGTATATATGCTTTGGTTATTAACGTGGGCATGAGAGGAATTAAGTCAAGAAATTAGTTGAAATATAAGAAAGATCAGAGGTATAGAAAAGAGGGTTTGGCGAGGAATAAGAAACTAATTATCGCACATTTTGACCTGTTTTCTTCAGTATACATGAGCATTAGGATGAAAAGGAAAAAAATCCACTGCTGGAAAAGTGGGCCCTTGGTGTTGGGGTCAGATGCTACCGCTGTGATGGCCTAATTTCTGTAAGTAAAATCTTGGCATGAAGAGTTGTTTTACTTCCTGTTTGAATTCTGCTGTTTATAAGGTTTGAACTGCTTTAATATACAAACATGAACAAGTGAGACAAAGGCAACCGTGAAGGGAAATAAGGAGACACAGATGCGGAGGGAGAAGAGGGGATGAGACTTACTTTGGCTGGTTGTGATGAAACGAGACGTTCTGTGGCTGATCTGAAGACGGCGGTGCGCTGCTGTTTGTAGTTCTCCTCCGCCTTCTTTTCTGTCTGAACACAAACACACCAGACTCACATACACGCGTTTGTACAGTAGCTTGCTGCATCATATTTCACGCTGGAGAAGAAAAAAAAAAAATAATGAATGACATAACAGATGGATCCTCCTACCTCGTACTGCCCTGGACTCGGGGCTTGAATCGATTCCTTGTTGTTGAAGATGGAGTTGCGCTGAGCACTGGAGCCGAAGCCTCCCTTCCTGGTTCTCTCGAAAAATGCTCTTTTGAAACTCTCACAGGCTAAACCCTGCTCAAAGACATTGTAGGACCCCGGACCTGCACAGAGGACAGAAAAGTCGGATTACTGTGTGTAAAGAGAGTTTTTTTGTAGAGTCCATCTTTTCACTGCTGCAGATAAATGAGTAATTTCCCTCGGACCTATAAACTCTGGTCAAACCTCAAAGATGATGCAGAGCATGCCAGGTGGTGTTTGTGTCCGTTTCTTCAACAGACAATAGACATGTGCAGTGTAGGTGTAACTTTGGCTAAGTGTATTTTAGTGTTGGCGGTATGCGGGGTATCCATGTACTGTTGGCTGAAAGTGACACATACGCTGAAGTACATGTCATATGGAGACACACATGTTAGTGCTATTTTAATTTGTTCCCTGACTGCGCGTGTGAACACAGACTCTGGTAACAGCTTGAGAGGAAGAAAGCTCAAAAACACAAAAGAATGAACCTCTACATCTGATGATAACATGTACTGTATCATGACCAGGCAACAAAAGCTTCAGAGGATAATCACAAGCAACTAAGAGAGCCAATCAAAATCAAGAGAAAACATGTGCATAAATACTTTAATAATACATACAGTCAATATGAAAATAAAATAAATAAACAGAAAAAAATACTACTCTGGGATGTAATGTGTAAAGCTTCAGTAATAGGAGATTATAGATGAATTATTGTACTCATTAATATTATTTTAAAACCTTGTTAAAGACCTTAACGCTGTGATGGTGACTCAAATCTACTAAAGGGCAAAAAGGGTTCACTGCAGAAAAATATGAAAACACACACAGAGATACACACACACACACACGCTGCACAATAATCACAGCAGAGGTCAGTTCAGTCTTAGATCCTTTCAGAAGAAGAAAACAGGCACAAAGTATTTTATGTTTTCAGAAATTACTCGTTAGAGGGAACAATGTGACCATGCGAAGGAAAAGTCTGAGATGAGATGTTTAAAATAAAAAGAGAAGAAAAGCTTACGACCTATCCTCGGACATTTCTTTATAAACTTAAGTGTCAGTTAAATCTTACACAGTATAGACTGACACACACTGACCATACACGCACGCACGCACGCACGCACGCACGCACGCACGCACGCACGCACACACACACACGCACACACACACACACACACACACACACACACACACACACACACACACAGACCTGGGGAGGAGCTTTTTTTACAGCTAGGATTAAAGCGTGCTGCGGTGATGCCGAACGGGCTTTTCTTCACCCCTGTGGTCTTCCTCAGCATTTCCAGGGCGCAGCGAGGGTCGTTATATGCACCAACAGGGGGCGTCACTTCTTTCACCGGGCTGAACCTCTAAAGGAGAGAGATTAAAAACAAGACACAGACAGAGGTTAGAGAGAGTGCCCATGAAGGCAGGGAAGAGGATTATAAAAACAAATATCTAAAACTTCAAGTCCAGACTAGCAGAAACTCAAATAGCAGAGTTTTTAATTCAACACTGTGTTCACTTTCTCCCCGTCACTGAGATTGAAACTGTTTAGTATCCAGTAGTTGCTGGGATATTTCAGCTGTTATTGACAGGTTGCCAGTCAATAACAGGGCTAGCACACAGACATTCATACTCCCACATACACCTGCAGGCACATTTAGAACCATCAATTAACCTCATGAGCATGTCTTTGGACCGTGGGAGGAAAACAAGAGCACCTGGAGAGAACCCACACATGCATGCGGAGAACATTCAAACTAGTCTTTAAAATGTATTTTTGGGGGGGCTTCTCATATCTTTATTGAGTGCACAGCTCAGGGGACAGAGTGGCAAACGGGGGACTGGGAGGACTGGAGGGAGTGGAGGGCGACATGCGGTAAATGTCCAATAATAATAATAATGATAACTTTATTTAAAAACACAGGTTTACAAAGTGCTTTGACAAACAGCAAAAACAAGAACAAACAAAACCAAACACAGAAGAACAAAACAACAGCAAGAACATAACAAATGCAAAATACGAAAAATAATTAAATACAATTCAACAGAAAAGAAACCATAGTGCACGATACCAAACAGACATATATAACCCAACCATCATAAGAACCATCATAAGAACCCAGGAAACACAAGAACCCAACAACACGAGCTGAGACCAAGAGGAACCAAAGATTTAAAAAGATGTAAGAAACTAAAAGAGCTAAAAGCAAATAAAAAGATAACAGCAACAAGAAGGTAAGAGCAGGAAAAGAAATAGAAACAAGTGAATAAATGATCAAAAAAATAATAATAATATTAATGAAAATAGGATGGGAGTGGAATCCAGGGCTGCCGCTTTAAGGGCCTTTGTACATGAGATGTGCAAATTGAGCTAAACTGGGGTGCAACATTTACATACTACAGCAAATACAATACAATCATATGAACTGACATGACCATCCATTGATCTCAACATGATGCAGAACCTTGAAAAGTAAATCCAAATCCTGCCAAACTTCATTGAGAAAAAAGACAAAAAAAAAAAGACAGGAAAAGATCAAAGAGAGGCATGAGAGAAAGAGGAAAAACATGCAAACAGACCGGACCGGTTGGTGAGATAACTGAGGAGAAAATGAGATTGAAGGAAACAGCATCGCCCTCTCAAAACAAAAATAATGATGCACCCAATCAGGTATGTAATGTTTTCGCTGTTTTGCTGATATGAGCGCTTATTCAGCGCTGCAGCTGGCGGGCAGCTTCACTCCCAGGTACCGACGTGTTTATCTGATAGCCTAACAACACGGGCAATCAAGAGCCTCGGAGCAGATAAGTTGCCTTTTCAGTCTAAATTACTGAAGGTGAACAGCATTTCTATGTTACTTTAAATGTATCTTCTGCCTTTTTACACCTGAACTATCAAGCTGCTTGTTATCAATGCAACAGAGGAATAAAAAGAACCAGATTCCCTCCAACACAAGAAAGTCCACACTATCTCGTGAGCCTCAATCACCCTGAATCAGCCCCGCGGATAATGTTCAAACTATAAGAGTGATCCTTAAGTAGATCCTTTAGATTTGTATCATTGATTTGAACTTTTCATTTAAGAAGAATTCAGCTTTTGGAAAATAGGTGGTGAGGGAATGAAAATTGCATTTGCACAGTTGAATTATTGAGCTTCAGGGCAGAAGAAGAAGAAGAAGAAGTCTAGAGGTGCTGCTGGAGAGGAAACATGTTTGGTTATGGAGAGAGCAGAGGAAGAAAACAAAGGGGAAGGAGTTATATGAGATGTGGTTAACAAAGCAAAATCAACTGTGAGTGGTAGTTAGTGGCCATGTGTTAATCCAACACTATTTCTACAGCAAAAACAAAACTCCTGAAAGTTTCATGAAATTTCTCAGGGTGACCTGCATGTGTGAACGCAAACAGCCCCAACTTCTTCTGAAATGCTTTCTAGTAAAATTGCTGCGTGACGTCGGGATGAGCCGATGGGTGAACGCAGAAGGTGAAATTCAGGAAAATTCACAGCAAGCAAGTGGGCAGGGTAATGACATTTATATCACCTTGCAAATGTGCAAGAAATGAAGGTGCATCATCTTTACTGCTAAGCAAAATGGTTTCTTTATACTGTGAACACATCAAATGACATGTAGCAACAATATAAATGCAAAATAACTGACATTAAAGGTGTCAGACTGTGTTGCTTCATCTTTGTCATCCTTTCATGTCACATCCTGCCTCCTGAGACGCACTCCCCCGCTGCGAGGTAAACATGTGAACAGGCCACTCTCAATATTTTCTAGACATTTTCAGGAATGTGTTAAAAAAACAAGCTTTAGAAAAACATTCCTCAGAACTTTTAGAAATTTGAGGACAGTCTGCCCCCTTTACTAAAAATATGTCCCTCTCTGTGGGAGGGTCTCGGGGGGTCAACACATGAATACATGAAGTAAAAAGGGGACGCTGCTGAAGTCAAAATATGGCAGACAAAGCCACAGAGTTCACTAGTTTGTTCCTTTACGTCAATGCTACATGTAATTTAATGTATTCGCAGAATCAACAGGAGTGGAAAAGAACATAGCATGTAAAAACATAGTATGAAGCTGCTTTTATCATGTGCGGCTCAAATCGACTTCTTGAGAAGATTTTACCAGCTTGCAGTAGCAAATGTTTGAATGTTTCCCCATAAAAAATGTCATTTAATTTTTTGGAGTTTTGTGCATGTTTGAAAAGGGGGCAATGGACAAATGTACTGTAGCTTTGTTGGTCATGCACTTTGATTTTCTCCTCTTCTTCAAGTGTTTTTCTCATTACGCTCCCTTTTGTTCTTTTTCCAAACTGTTCTGTTGTGAAAGGAAATGCCAAAGGAACAATTAAAAAATAATGACCACCAGTGTGGGCACTTTATTGACAGAACTGCTAAACATCTGATCATATTCTGATCATAATGAGGCCGCAGAGTGATGGAACAATACGAGGACGTCTAAGTGTGTCACAAGATAAAAACAAATACTAATGGCTGGTGTGAATGCTGCTAGAAGCTTAAAAGGGTTGGGAACAACAAAAGAGAAGATGGTCATCAGGGACACAAGGGACTCAAACGGATGAAACAACATGTGAAGAGAAATGATGGAGAGAAGAAAAAATATATACAGTATATATCGAAATGAGAAAATGTAGTAAAGGGAAGAGAAGCAGAATGAGAAAAACAGAGAAAAGGAGAAAGACACTGAGGGTTAATGAAGACATGAAAAGGAGGGAACAAAAAGGGGAAAAGGGGGGGGGGGTGAGGGCGAGGGGGGAATCAAGGAAAAGGCCTGTTTTGACAAAGTGTCCGATTGATTCTTTGATATTAGGAAATTGCGACGTCAAAGGGAGAAGAGGCGAGGTCTGGAAGATTCCAGCTGTCCCTCTTATCTCCCTCTCTCTCCTCCCCCCACCCTCCTTCCTTCACTCCCTCCTTCCCTCGTTTCCTCTCCATCCCTCCGTCAGATGGATACGGACTCACAGGGAGACAGAGATCTAAGAAAACTGTCGCTCTCAGTTCTGCGCTGGACATGACTTGTGACACACACACACAAACACACACAAACACACACAAACACACACACACACACACACACTCAGTTCTAGGTGGGGTGTCAGTGATGACATCACAGGGTCGACGCACTTGCACAGCATGTGGCCGGGGAAATTAGGTCAGAGCTCGCTATAACACACACACAGACGAAATGAACGCCAGAATCTTGCATCAGTTTTTCTCACCAGAAAACGAGTAAAGCTTTTTATGTTTCAGACGTTTTTAAGTAATTTTAGGCAACCATATTGTTTGTTTGTGTGTATGTGTTTTCATGTACGTGTGTGTGTGTGTGTGTGTGAGCTTATTTGCATGCATGTCAGCAGTACAAGTGATCCTCTCTCTCTGTCTCTCTCTCTCTCTCTCTCTCTCTCTCTCTCTCTGTCTCTCTCTCTCTGTCTCTCTCTTTCTCTCTCTCTCTCTGTCTCTCTGTCTCTCTCTCTTTCTCT